AAGTGTGCGAACAAGATCTAGATGACCTTTAAACTCTTTACAACCCCTTGCTGATGGGCTATTGCTAGAGGGTACGAGATTACTCTACCTACGTATATTGCTGTAATAGAGGAGCATTCACCATAGTTAGTCAGATTTGGGATACTTTAGATAGCAAATTGCATATGTAGTTGAAAAGGAAGCTCCAGCAGAGGAAAGTATTTTACTAAAGACTTTTGACTTTTGTGGTAAATTGGGTCAACAACTGTTTAAATTGGACTTGTTCAAGATTTTAGCGAGAGTTGAAAATGGTTTGTATAAAAAAATATGTATAAACATAAATATTTATAAAGCTTGATTAATTTAACTTTGGTATTTTATTTTATTTTTTTATATTTTATTAAAATTATTTTATATATGTATTTTGGGCCCTTTATTTTTCATTAAATTGTTATACAAAAACGCACATTAAATTATATTACCGAATCATATATGTATATAGATTTGTAATATAAATTCCATTCGCTTGATGAGATTAATGAACATTTATTAACTTTATTTTCTGTTGAGATACCCCAACAAATTACTCAAACTCTATAAGGTACATCTTTTTACTGTATATATTTATTTTAGTTTCATTGCTGGAACTGTAATAAAATATTGAAGCAAATCGAATTAGGCCTTTGTAAAATGGAATATGCAAAAGAATATATTGCATATACCAAGAGCTCAAGCTCAGCATTTCTCCATCAAATCAAGAGAGATAGATAATTTGATTTCTTTAGTTTCTTCTCTCTTTTTTTTTGGTTTGTCTGCAATTTAAGTGTAAGCAATTTTTTCGTCTAAGCAATTTGTTCTTGCATCACAATTGCCAAACCAATTTCCATTTAAACCGCAAATTTTCCATATTCACATTCACATTCTTTTCACATGCTGCCATGTTGCATTTTGTCAAACTAACACATCATTTTCCGGTGCATGCAGGCAGGCTATTGGCCATTGCCTAGCTCACCCCTCGCTTCACCCTAGCTCTCGATGCGTTCACAGCACGCACTCTGTAACATAAATGTGCATAGAAATTGTTTCCTGTAATTATGTAAATGTCATAGCAGGTTGCTGCTGCGCTCTGCATTCTTACAATGGAATATGAAAAGCGTAAATGAAAACAGTTTCGTTTTTTTTCTTCTTTATTTTTGGGAAACAGCAATATAGAGAGTGCAAGGGCGAGAGAGAGAGAGAGCGACACAAACAGAGCCCAGAGAATTGACCTTAACAGCAATTAAGCCGCTTAACCCTGTTTGGTCAGAGCCCTGCTCCCAACGAGCACTTGGCAAGTAAGCCAAGTCCCACACGCTGTCGCTTGCTTCCTCGCGCTTACCCTAAAATCCGCATAAAAATTTTTAAGCTACCCCCTCCCCACCGCTCTCATCTCTCATCAGCAGACGACGCCCCCCGGCCGCCCACCACTTGGCACTTGACAAATGGAAAAATGGCCCCAAACTTCCGGCTGTTACAGCTGCAGTTTGTCAGGCTTCAATTTGTTTGTCGTTTTTGGCTTTTAGCTCGTTGCGAGATTTTCATGAATTTTATGTAACGATCTGCCACGCCTTCCCCGCTCCCGGGCTGTTGCTGGGCTGTGCTGTGAGAGTGTGTTTGTATCACACGCTGAAAAACTGCATCGAATTGCAAATTCAATAATATTGGTGCACCTCGTTCCACTCCCTTTGACTACCCACCCTTCACGCCTCTAGCCTTCCCACTAACTACCCCTGCAGGCATCTCGGCTGCTGCTGCACGTTATTCATATTTCTGTATTTGCCCGTTAGTTTTAAGTATGCCAAACGAATGAGAAGCAAACTGAAGCACCGATACCGATAGCTTTCCCCCTTTTAGCAGCACCGGGATTACCAACGTCTCGAGTGCGCCATGAAGGCTGCCAGGGCATTAGGGGGCGTGGCTGAAGCTTGCTTTGGCATGCCGTGTAATTGGTTCGATAATAAATACAGCGATTGATTTTTTTCGTGTTTTTTATTTCTCGCCCAGCTCTCTCAGCATAGTTTCAGATTTAATTAAAGGCAAAGGTGTGTGACAAAGAGGCGCATGGGGTGGTGGGGCAAGAGGTAACGTGGCTGGAGTGTTGCATAGAAAATCAGTCGGGAAAAGTGATAAGGGAAAGCCACGATTGCTCGTGCCAGTTTGAGCAATCCACAGGTCATTGGCTCAGAGAAATTCTGGCTTAGATTGTTGACTGAAAATTAAAGAGATTTTCATTTGGCTTAGATTTAAGCCATGGGCTAAGTATATTATTATCATAATGTAGGCCTTAAGCAGATTTTATTATTATTTTAAATATTAAATAAGATATTGGAACAATAGTTTCGAGTATCAGCAAACAAGTTATTCATTTAATCACACATTTTCCAACACACATTCTCAGTTTGCAGCATTCCTAAAAAAATCATTCCTAAAAAAAACTGCTTCATTCGTTAAGCTGATCTCAAGTTTTTTAAAGTTTAACAAATGCGGAAAATAAAGCCATACTCACGCCTCTTTTTACGGCCTAAAAACATAGCAAAGAAATGCTCAACATAACACTATACAGAACAGGAAAAAATAAACGTATTTTACAGCACTAAATAAATTCGAATGCGACGCCGCATAAAAAATGAAGTAAAAACAAATGCCAGGCACGTTGCTCACATTTATCAAGCGAGACACACACACACACACAGGCAAGAGTCGTGTGTGCTAACAAGAGCAACAACAGCTGGCACACCTTCACACACACACATGCACACGGAGAGGCTCAATGAGAGAGAGTCGGGGGAGATGAGCCTGTCGCCTGTGTTGACAAAGAGTCGAAAATTTCAGTCACGCGAAAGGATTGAAAGTCATTTGATGTATTCACTGTCATTTAAGTTGGCGAACTGATAAAGTGACTGATAGATAGATGTATACAGATGTACGTATATATGTATGTATATACATATGTCGATTGATATTGAATTGAATCGATGGGGCTATGGCCCTGCCAATATAACTACAACAAGCAAACGCTTTCAGTGCTGTGCATATGCTAGAGCCGTAGATAAACCCAAGTTAAATGCATTTAACTGACAAGGACGTTGGCACTAGGAGTCCTTTTTCTTTTCCTTTTTTGTGTGTGTGTGTGTGTGTGTGTGTTTGCCTTATTGACATGTGTCCTGGCTGCCAGACTTATCCGTTAGTTGTCGTTGCAAGTCAATTATATATACACGCACGCCCACACACACACACACAAACTCACCTACATATACATACATATATGTACGTATGTATGTGTGCAGTTACATGTGAGATAAAATTTAAATCTGCGCCGTCTGTTCCAGGTGGAGAACTTGTGATTTATTGAATAAATCAGTGGGGCGTTCCACTTCACAAGCTCCTCAAATATTTATCAGTGCATCTGTGTGTGGGACTCTGTGTGTGCGCCTGTGGGTGTGGGTGTGTGTGTGTGTGTGTGTGCGGTTTTTTAAATTTATGTGCACTAGTAAATAGAATGGGCCTCCGCAGACCTGCTGAAAGCCGCAAGATGAGCCAATAAAATATATAAGATAACGCCGCGAAAAGTGTGTTAAACGTTAAAGATGAACATTTACATTTTCCCTCCATTTTCTTAACTTGCACACACCAAATTTATTTGCACACATTTAAGAGCGCGTCTGCAAAAGAAAAATCAAGTGCACTCACTTGAGACACCAGCTTGAGGCATGTCGATAGAAATTCATTCATTTAGATAGCAAGATTTAAGATTAGTTGCCTGGCTTAA